GGATGGAGCCCTTAAATGATTTCCTCTTCCTCTATCAAACAAAAAAAGGTCCCTTCTTTTTACTTTAGTTGTCTTTGGAGCCGATAGAGGAAGGTTTTAACCCTTTAATGCTAAATGTATCATATTTGATTTGTACGGTTTGTGAAATGTTTTGCCTCTGACACCTTTTGCATAATTTAATGGTAAAAACTTTGCTCAAAATCCTATTTTACACAATTAGATACACTTGATAACAGGGGGCAGAAGACTACACAAAAAATAATCTTGACTTATCGCATAGTAATAAATTATTAATATCAAAAATGTATTTCTGTTTTTTCTTTTTACATATTTTGTTAAAAGGCCAAATAAGGAATTCAAACAAAAAAAAAAAAGTAATTTTCTGTTTTCTTTTATTCTTGGATCAGGCTTTAAATAGTTAAACACGTCTTGCCCTGTGTGAGGGGTTGAACACTTTAGAGCTTAAACGCGCCATTAATGTTTAACAGATTTCTCAAACCGGCTTATGTAATTTGGTTTATCATTCGTGGCCAAATAATGGAACTGCAGCCTCAGAGCTGTGAGGAACCAGGAAACAATGCGGTGAAAACTCGACCTCGGAGCTTCCTTTGATTTGCAGAAGCCGTTTTTTCTTTTCGTTGCTTCTGGGTTTAGTCCCCCGGCCAAAGGGAGCTCGTCTTTTTCTGGTGGAATCGACTCGTTTTCCCACAAGTTTGAGGTTTTTACGTGTGGCTGAAGCTGGAGGGACGATCGGACATTGTTCCAGAACCCTCACAGGCTGGATGTCCAGTTCCTCCCACATCCAAGTCGGCCATTTTTATTAGGTCATGTGACTAGCAGCTTTCTGAGGTGGAAACGAAACTTTACTGTCTACACGAAATCGGAAAACAAACGATGTCCCTGACCTTAACTAAACCTAACCCTAACTCTAAAACCCTAACCCTAAACCTAACCCTGACCCTGATCTTGACCCTAACCCTAACCCTAACCCTCCACCCTTCATAATTGTGAGAAATAAATCTTTTTTGGTTAAACTTGTTTGGATTTATTGTACAAACCTATTTAACACCCACTATTTAACATAATATTATGTATAGACTTTAAGTCAGTGTGTTTTCAAGATTCATTTCACTATTTTTAAAATTAATATCTATATTGCCATGAAGCAATTAGGATTTTCTTGCCTGGGATCTTCCTATTGGTGACCTAATCAAAATGGCCGACTTGGACGTCCATCCATGGCCTCCTACAGTCTGAATCCAGACGGACTTTGGCTGATTTGCTCTCAGAGTAGATCTGTGATGTTTTGGGGGGCAGGGATCTGAAGCTGTTTTCCATATTCCACATGTTCCTGATGCATTTTGCACACTTTAAAGCAACTTTCTCCCCCCCCGAACTGATTCCAAACCTGCTTTCAAAACATCCACATGACAAACGCCTCCTCGGGGAGACACAAAAGTGCCTTTGGCTCTGTTTCCAGCGTGTGATTTCTCCCGGTTTTGCCCCCCAGGGAGAGCTGCCTGACGCCGGTCAGTCCCGAGTCCAGTCCCCTGGTCCAGGCCTTCCTGGACTAAGGGCTAGTTCAGTTCTCCCTGTTCACTCAGGACGTAGCAGCTAACGTTAGCTAAAGCTAACCTAGCTGGCTAGCTGTATGATAACGTTAGCTAAAGCTAAACTAGCTGGCTAGCTGTATGATAACGTTAGCTAAAGTTAACCTAGCTGGCTAGCTGTATGCTACATGCTAGCATAAAGGCTCAGCTCATGATTCTGACTCTGGAATAATAAATAATAGTAGATGAAGAGCTGTTGATTGCTAATGCAGATGTAGTTTTCTGTTTTTGTAAACACCTGTATGGCCTTTTACACGTTTGAAATAATATAAACAATATCTATCACACTTGTAGTTTTACTTATACTTGTACTTTCAATACTTGAGTAGACATTTTTGAAACACTTATACTTGCAATACCTGCAAGTATAAGTGTTTAAAAAAAAATGTAGTACAAAAAAAATGGAGTACTTCCGTACTTCCACTTAAGTATGATGTTTAAAGAATACTTCTACTTTTACTCAAGTAAATTTTTTTACATAGTACTTGTACTTCTACTCCACTCCTCTACTCCAGTACTTTGAATCTCTGGTGATTTCTCCCGGTTTTGCCCCCCAGGGAGAGCTGCCTGACCCCGGTCAGCCCTGAGTCCTGCCCCCTGGTCCAGGCCTTCCTGGACCAGGGTCCGGGCCGGGCCTTCCTGGGCCACGCCCACATCCAGCTGAAGACCGGCCTGCAGACCCAGGACAGACACCTCTTCCTCTTCACCGACACGCTGCTCGTCACCAAGGCCAAGTAAGTGGTCCCGTTAGCAACGATTCTTTAGCCGGAGGCCTGAGGATAAAACCGGAGCGGATCAGGAGTAAGTAAAAACAGAGGAGTTCCAGTTTTGGATCAAATGGAGGATCTCTGACTTCTTAAAACAAAAAATAAATGGAAAAATAAAAAATTTAAAAAAATTAAATAGAATATATATAAAATAAATAAATACATTTTAGAAAAAATTAAAAATTAAAAAATTAATTATTATAATTATTATTAAATAAATAATAATAAATCCCGGAGTATACAGGAAACAGAGGAGTTCCATTTTTTGGCAGAAATTGAGGAAGTCTGACTTCTTAAAATAAAAATGAAAAAATAAATACAAAAAAATATCTAAAAAATAAATAAAATTTTAAAAAATTTAAGAAAAATTATAAAAATAAATAAATGATAACAAATAAAAAAATAAATATATAAAATTAACAAATTTAAGAAAAACAGTTATATAAAAAATGAATGAATAATAACAAATAAAAATTTAATAAATAAAGTAGTGATGGTGCAGCTACCGTGGTGGAGGCGTCCTGATTCTTTAGCTGGAAGCCTGAGAATAAACCAGAGCAGATCAAGAGTACAAATAGGACATTTATTGGTCACAAGCAGAGTAAATCAGCTGGGCTCTCACAGACAAAGTTCCCGGAGGATCAAAGTTAGCAAAGAGCCTCGATTTCAGGGTGTGATGGACTTTTATCCTCTGGGCCTCGAACAGGAGGACGGCTGGACGTAACCGAGTGTTATTGGCCATTTAGCTCTCTAATTCATGCAGGTTTCAGTGGAATGTGATAAGAAAGTGTAAATATTAACCTTGAAGACGAGTATCTACTGTAACAGAGAGAGGAGGAAGAGTAGGCACAGCGAGAGAGTTTAACCCAAAAGTATGATTATAAAGGGAATAATATGAATCTAAAAAAGGAATAAGACAATCTACATGGATTAAGTTATAGCATACTGTGCTAAAGTGAGTAATTATGGCCCATTTCTAAGAGTTCCCCTCTGCAAGGATTGGACTTAGAGTGAAACTAAACGATGGTTTCAAACTGAGGAGAACATATGGAAGTGTTTCATATTCCTCTGGTAGTTTTACTTATTTTGTCTGAGCACTCCGATGCGTTCAGGACCTTTCTGCTCTTCCCCGTCTCTCATTTTCCTCCCGGGTGTAATTATTTCCCTGCCCATTAAATCCATATGAAGCCTGGCCGAGATCAAAGCCCCCCGAACGGGGCTCCCCACCCACAACCCGTAACGGGCAAAAATAGAAACATAACCAGCACATAGCCGTTTTCGAGAATACACACACACACTTCACAAATAGACACACTTAAACACAGACTATGTACTTATGCAGTTACTGTACACACAAACCCCGGAGTGCAGACACAGCAGGATGTCTGTGGTGTTTTCTGGGAGTCATGTGCCAGAGGGTGGAACTAAACCCCCCCCGGTACACAAGCTAAACTCTATAATTGGCTCTCATATTGTGGCTGAACAGAGGGTGGGTTGGAGGAATGTGGAAGGAGGGAAAAGGGGATTCAATGATGCGTTTGTGTGCGTGTTTTTTTTCCCCCCTCTTTTATATTGATATTATAACAGAGAGAGTGTGTGTCCCGTATCCCGAATACGTGCCATTGGAAGTTCGGGCTCTATAATTAAAGATGTTGTGGTGAATGGATCCACATTTGCAGAGCGTGTCTCTGCAGAAAAGCTAATAGTTTTAATATTTAGTTGTAGGTCAAGTGGTTATTTAAAGATTTCCATATGTTAGAGGGGTTATGGAAAAATGTTATTCAGAGAAATTGACTCGAAAACCATCTTATTCATGAAGCTTTTTTCTTTTCTGTTTTGTTGTTGTTGTGCAGGTCTCCCACTCACTTTAAAGTGAAGGCTCAGGTCCGGGTGTGTGAGATGTGGACGGCGGGCTGCATGGAGGAGGTTTGCGAGGGGAGCACCAGCCCGGAGAGGAGCTTCGTGGTGGGCTGGCCCACCTGCAACTCGGTGGCCACCTTCAGGTTTGTGCTCATCCCGAAACCAAGTCGAAATCCCGAAACCAAGTCGAAATCCCGAAACCAAGTCGCTCTTAAAGGAGACATATTATATACCCTATTTTAACAAGTTAAACTAGTTCCCTGGTGTCCTAATGTAATGTCTGTGACAAGCTTTGGTCAAAATCCCATAAGGATGAAGCACAATAGCATGCTAACGCTACCATGCTAACGCTACCATGCTAACGCTACCATGCTAACGCTACCATGCTAACGCTACCATGCTAACGCTCACGCTACGACGACATCTGCCACAGATAGGGGAGTAAGCTGAGGGGGGGGGCAACATGCAGGTGAAAGGCTGGAATATTATAATGAGCTAGAGCTAATGACGTCAGAAACTACCCACTCCTGAAACCTCCTGATTTAGCTCCCGGATTCAGACTGGGGCGGCCCACAAAAACATGACCGAGTCATTTTTTTTCACACTTTGCCTGCTGATAGGCCCTCCACAGTCCCAAATGTACGTAATCAAATTATTAAAAACTTGGTTTTGCATAATATGTCCCCTTTAAAGTTACGTGCTTTTAATCAAACTGGCTTAATAGAATGCCGTGAGAACATACAGACAGAAAAGCTAAATAAAAATACATTATTTCTGTGTAAAGAAACAATACATATCTACAGTCTTACAAAATAACAATAACAAAAACACACATGCACCTCATTGGTCGCTTTCCCTTGAGAAAAAATTAAAAATCTTCAGTCCCTTAATGCACTTTATTCAAACTTGGTTCTAAACCAGAGGAATCGGGAGTTTTCTGCCTGCTAGCTTGGTCCAGAATCTGCTAATAAAACAGCTAGCAGCTCTCAAAGGCAGAAAACTTTGGTTCCCCTTTAATTAAGACGTGTTTCCCCATATCAAAACAAAGAATGTACAGGAAATATACGTTTTTTGTCACGCCTGGGGGAATGTCTCGTCTTGATTACCTATTGTGTACACCTGGGGTTTCCCTCCCTCATGTGTTTAAATAGTCCTCGTTTCCCCTTGTCTGGTGCGGGGTCGTTCTAGTCTTCTTGCCTTGTCTCTTGTCCTTTCGTCCGTCGTCACCCCCACGCCAGGTTTGTTTTGTCACAGTTCTGCCACAGTCATAGTCACGTTTTGTCATAGTCTTGTTTATCTTTATTTTGTTACTTTGTCAAGTCATAGTTTTTGCCACAGTATTGTTTGCTCATTGCTTTGTTACTTTGCCCACAGTTTGCCACAGCTTTGTTTTGTACTTTGTCTGGACATTCACCCTGTTTTTTGTCAATAAACCTTGTTCCCCTCATTCCGCGACTGAGTCCTCCCGTCAACACCCACCCTCCGTGACATTTTTAATATTAAACTGTTATTACTTCAAATAAACACATTTATGAACTCTATATTTTTAACTTAATATTTATCCATCGATTATGTATTTATTTATTCTGACTTAGATGGCAGCTAAACACGACTGCAAAGGCTCATTATCTTCATTTTCTCTTCTTTCTCTTCTTTATTTTTGTTTTCCCTTTAGCTCTGAGGATCTCAAGGACAAATGGCTGGCGCTCATCAGCAGGTGAGCGACTCGTTCTTCCCTTTTTCAGATAACTCGATACAAAGTTTAGAAATAAGCG